GGCCTCCTCTGCAGGAGGTGTTGACGGGAAGCTCATGGAAGGGTCGCCAATTTTAATAAGAACCCTTTTTTGCCCCGGGCCTCAAATACAAAAAATACGCAAAGCTCACCTGTGCAAAAAGCTCCTCCATCTTGCACAAACACTGACCGACAGACCGGCTAGTGGAAAGCTCCGCCGGCCTCCGCCTCTGACTTGCCTCGCTTCAAGGCGTCGACTCGCTGAGCCAAGGCCTCAGCACAGTCGGATCGGCCCCCCCGGATGGCTGCAGCGCAACAACTCGGCGCCTGCAGTCGGCTGCCAAGTTCCTCCACAGAGGCCTCCTGGCACAAGAGCCAGCAAAAATAAATTCCTTGAAAACAGCTTCAAAGGCATCCCTTGAGAGGAATGATCAATGCTCACAAACAACCCCTTCCCTACCAAACTTCTTGGGCGGATGCATCTGCGCTGGTCCTGCGGCCGGCGCCGATGCCCGCAGCAGGACAAAGAGAAGCGGCGCGACTTGGCGGCCGCTTCGCCTCGGCGCGCCCCCAACTCCCCAACCTGCGCCCAATTAGAGGCTTGCTCCCACCAAACACATGCAGCCCACGACTGCAAGCGACTCCACCCGGCCTTCATCTGGGGCTTCTTGATTTCCTGATCCAACCTGTCGAGCATTGCGCGCCGGACAAGCTTCGCGCCGTCTAGAATCTTCATAACGTTACCCGCCTGAGCAGGTTGATCGAGCTCTGCCTCCAACGCCAAGATCTGGTCCTTGAAGCTCTCAAGGCTGGGCTGCAAGTCCGCTTTGAAGCGCTCGGCCTGGCATCTGTCATTGTGCATTGCCCTTTTCAAGGGGATTTGCAACTTTCGACAATCCACCACATGCACACACCAGCATATCAGTGCCGATTCCCACTACTGGTACGATGATTTGCTCACATCCCACCAGGTTCCATGGCACCCTGAAACACACACATATATATATATATATATACATATATACCACCAGCAAAAACTGTAATAAAGCAGCAATTTGGAGCCGAGCGGGAACATCCAGTGGTCATTACCCTAGATAACCACAGCCAGCTCACGCGCCTCCACCTCTGCCTTGCCCTGCTTCAAGGCGTTGAGTCGCTTCGAAACACCCTGCAGCCGGATCGGTGTGCAAGGCCCCGCTTGGAAACCCACCGAAACGCCTAACACCATCCTATATTATCCCTGCATCCCGCCTGCAGTCGGAACCCAAGCTCCTCCATAGACGCCGCCTCCTTGCCAATGGCTTGAATTCAATCGGTATGCCCGGACAGCCGAAATTTGGCCAGAACTGCTCAAGACAGTCTGCATTCGACCCCTACAAAGCGCCCTTCTCCACAGAAATCGGCCAACAGTCCTTCGGCCGCCGCCGCGCGCAGCAGGACAAGGTGCGACGGCGCGACTTGCCGGCTTCGCCTGAACTTGAAGGAACGGTCGGCACTGTCGCACTCGACGGCGTTAAACCATCCAACACCACAAGACCGCTCAACACCCAATTATATTCAAGCCCTCAACGACTCAACGCCCAGCAGCCTTCATCCTGGCCATCTTCAGCACCTCTCTCCTCGGCCTGCGGGGCATCAACAGCGGCGATAAGGTGGCTAGGCCGAAAGACACAAAATGAAGCAATGGCTGCAACAGCCGGAATGAATGCGCAGCAAGAGCAGCACAAGCAACCCAAGGACCATCATCAGAACATCACCCATACACATCCCGAGTCTTGCTGACTGCCAAACACGTCTTCCAATCCAAGCTGACAATGCGCCTGCTCGGAGTCGCCAGGGAACTGTGCCTCCAGTGCCAGGATCCGGTCCTTGAAGCTCTCAATGCTAGGCTGCAAGTTCGCTTTGAAGCGCTCGGCCGCCTCCGCGGCATCCTTGGACTCCTGGACTTTGGCCGCCAGCTCCGCCTGGGCCTCCTCCGCAGCCGAGACTGCAGCCTTGGACTGCTCCAGCTCCGCCGTCAGCGCGGCTTCCGTCTCCTTGGCCTCTTGCAGCTGTGCCTCTGTGCTGGCTATCGCCTCCTCCCGCGCCTCAGTGAGCGAATCTCGGCACGCACCACGCCTGAACTCACTGAATGACAAGCCCAAATCCCCTTCTACAACCTAGTTCCATCAGTGAAGCCTCTCCAAGGGGCAGTGGGGAGGGGGCTCTCACGTGGCGGGGATGTTGTCGCATGGTGATAGGGCTCAACTTAAGATGAGCCAAGCTGCCTGGAATACTCGCACCTGCTCCTCCAGCGCGGCTGCTTGAGCAGCAGTGTTCTGCATATTTGCCTGCGTCACTCTTGAGTGATATGCGAGTGAGGGAGAACTAACAGAGAGACAGAAAGACAGACGTTCGGAGAGACGGAAAGAGAGACGTAGAGAAACAGGAGGGACGGAGGGAGACGCGAAGAGAGGGGGCCGCTTTTTGGGATCGTGGCTTGATTGAGCAGGATCGATACCACCGTTGTTTTAACCATGCAAACACCAGCAAAGACCAGCGCAAATCCACCTCCACCGACCCTTGCCACGCTTGTTCCCCTGCGCACGCTACACTGAAATGACAACTAAGCCGGCTCACGCGCCTCCACCTCTGCCTTGCCCTGCTTTAAGGCGTTGAGTCGCTCCGCAACACCCTGCAGCCGGATCGGTTGATGACCCAATGCAATTCTCACCCAAGGTATGTTTGCATCCCGCCTGCAGTCGGAACCCAAGCTCTTCCATAGACGCCGCCTCCTTGCCAATGGCTTGAATGCAATCGTTACTCCCGGACAGCCGACCTTTGGCCAGAACAGCCCAAGACTGTCTGCCTTCGACCCCTATAAACCGCCCTTTTCCACAGAAATCGGCCAACAGTCCTTCGGCCGCCGCCGCGCGCAGCAGGACAAGGTGCGACGGCGCGACTTGCCGGCTTCGCCTGAACTTGGATCAAGGAACAGTCGGCTGGGACACGCTGGGCTTCTCAACAACTGTTTAATGATCAAACCCTCAACGACTCAACGCCCAGCAGCCCTCATCCTGGCCATCTTCAGCATCTCTCTCCTCGGCCTGTGGCTGCAACAGCCGACATTCATGCGCAGCAAGGCAAGCACACCCATACAGCATCTCAAGTCTTGCTGACGTCTGCCAATCCAAGCTGACAATGCGCCTGCTCGGAGTCGCCAGGGAACTGTGCCTCCAGTGCCAGGATCCGGTCCTTGAAGCTCTCAATGCTAGGCTGCAAGTTCGCTTTGAAGCGCTCGGCCGCCTCCGCGGCATCCTTGGACTCCTGGACTTTGGCCGCCAGCTCCGCCTGGGCCTCCTCCGCAGCCGAGACTGCAGCCTTGGACTGCTCCAGCTCCGCCGTCAGCGCGGCTTCCGTCTCCTTGGCCTCTTGCAGCTGTGCCTCTGCGCTGGCTATCGCCTCCTCCCGCGCCTCAGTGAGCGAATCTCGGCACGCACCACGCCTGAACTCACTGAATGACAACAGTTCCATCAGTGAAGCCTCTCCAAGGGGCAGTGGGGAGGGGGCTCTGTGACCAAGGTGGCAGTTGCCAGATGAGCGGGCTCAACCTAAGATGAGCCGAGCTGCCTGGAATACTCGCACTTGCTCCTCCAGCGCGGCTGCATGAGCAGCAGAGTTCTGCATCTCTGCCTGTGTCACCCTTGAGTGATCTGAGTGAGGGACAACTAAAGAGAGACCGAAAGAGAGACAAAGCAACGGAGAGAGACGGAGAGACAAAGGAGAGGGAGACGGAGTGAGAGACGGCCAGACACGCAGAGAGGGAGGGCAGGTTGCCAGAACAGGGGCCATTTTTTGGGCGTCGCACGTTAGGAAGGATACCACGGTTTTGGCCCCGCACATGCACACACCATAAAGACCAGTGCAAGTCCACCTCCACCGACTCTTGCCCCGCTTTTTCCCTTGCGCACGCTACACTGAAATGACAACTAAGCCGGCTCACGCGCCTCCACCTCTGCCTTGCCCTGCTTTAAGGCGTTGAGTCGCTCCGCAACACCCTGCAGCCGGATCGGTTGATAACCCAATGCAATTCTCACCCAATGTATGTTTGCATCCCGCCTGCAGTCGGAACCCAAGCTCTTCCATAGACGCCGCCTCCTTGCCAATGGCTTGAATGCAATCGTTACTCCCGGACAGCCGACCTTTGGCCAGAACAGCCCAAGACTGTCTGCCTTCGACCCCTATAAACCGCCCTTCTCCACAGAAATCGGCCAACAGTCCTTCGGCCGCCGCCGAGCGCAGCAGGACAAGGTGCGACGGCGCGACTTGCCGGCTTCGCCTGAACTTGGATCAAAGAACAGTCGGCGCACTGTCGCACTCGACGGCGTTAAACCATCCACCGACAGTTGGGACACGCTGGGCTTCTCAACAACTGTTTAATGATCAAACCCTCACGACTCAACGCCCAGCAGCCTTCATCCTGGCCATCTTCAGCATCTCTCTCCTCGGCCTGTGGCTGCAACAGCCGACATTCATGCGCAGCAAGGCAAGCACACCCATACAGCATCTCAAGTCTTGCTGACCTCCAAACACGTCTGCCAATCCAAGCTGACAAATCGCCTGCTCGGAGTCGCCAGGGAACTGTGCCTCCAGTGCCAGGATCCGGTCCTTGAAGCTCTCAATGCTAGGCTGCAAGTTCGCTTTGAAGCGCTCGGCCGCCTCCGCGGCATCCTTGGACTCCTGGACTTTGGCCGCCAGCTCCGCCTGGGCCTCCTCCGCAGCCGAGACTGCAGCCTTGGACTGCTCCAGCTCCGCCGTCAGCGCGGCTTCCGTCTTCTTGGCCTCTTGCATCTGTGCCTCTGCGCTGGCTATCGCCTCCTCCCGCGCCTCAGTGAGCGAATCTCGGCACGCACCACGCCTGAACTCACTGAATGACAACAGTTCCATCAGTGAAGCCTCTCCAAGGGGCAGTGGGGAGGGGGCTCTGTGACCAAGGTGGCAGTTGCCAGATGAGCGGGCTCAACCTAAGATGAGCCGAGCTGCCTGGAATACTCGCACTTGCTCCTCCAGCGCGGCTGCATGAGCAGCAGAGTTCTGCATCTCTGCCTGTGTCACCCTTGAGCGATCTGAGTGAGGGACAACTAAAGAGAGACCGAAAGAGAGACAAAGCAACGGAGAGAGACGGAGAGAGAAAGGAGAGGGAGACGCAGTGAGAGACGGCCAGACACGCAGAGAGGGAGGGCAGGCTGCCAGAACAGGGGCCGTCTTTTTGGGGCGATAGTTACCACTGTTGTGACCCCGCGCACACGCACCCACCAGCAAAGACCAGTGCAAATCCACCTCCACCAACTCTTGCCCTGCGTGTTCCCTTGCGCGTGCCACCCCGAAATGACAACTAAGCCGGCTCACGCGCCTCCACCTCTGCCTTGCCCTGCTTCAGGGCGTTGAGTCGCCCCGCAACACCCTGCAGCCGGATCGGTTGATAAAAAAAACGGAAAACGTGGAAAAACCACTCTCACCCAAGGCATTTTTCATCCCGCCTGCAGTCGGAACCCAAGCTCCTCTATAGAAGCCGCCTCCTTGCTAGTGGCTTGAATGCAAGCTACAGCCTACCTTGAACCCCTCCAAACCCCCGCGCTACATAGACAATGGCCAACAGTCCTTCGTCCGCCGCCGCGCGCAGCAGGACAAGGAGCGGCGACGCGACTTGGCCGATCCTTCGCTTGGAATTGCATGGTTGCACTCGACAGGGTAAACCGCCCGACACCAACCAACACCCACCCTACCAACAATCGACCCTGTTGAGACCCTCAGCCTCTGCCCCGCTCAATGGAACACTGCCCTCTCACCAACTGTTCCACATTCAAACCCCAACGCCCGGCAGCCTTCATCCTGGCCATCCTCAGCGTCTTTCACCTCGGCCTTGGTAAGGCGGCAAGACACAAAATGAGTCAATCGCTCCAAAAGCCGCCGGCAATGAGCAACGTTTCCAAGTGCGACTTCTTGGCTTGCTGAATGCCATCTCTCCCAACATCATATCCAAGTGCGCCTGCTCGGAGTCGCTGGGGAACTGCGCCTCCAACGCCAAGATCCGGTCCTTCAAATTCGCGAGGGCTGCCTGCAAGTCCGCTTTCAAGCGCTCGGCCCCCTCCACGGCATCCTTGGACTCCTGGACCTTATTCGTCAGCTCCGCCTTGGCCTCCTCAGAAGCCGCTGCTGTAGCCTTGGTCTGCTCCAGCTCCGCGGTCAGTGCGGCTTCCGTCTCCTGGGCCTTCTGAAGCTCGTCTTGACATTGCGCCAGCTCCGCCTAAGCTGGCGACGAGGCGCGGCATGTCAAGCACGCTGCGATGTCCACACCCCCGGTTCTCTTCCCATCCCACCGTGCAATCTCCACTGGCTCACTTGACTCAACCAGCAGACCGCCGTAACAAAGGCGCACATTCTGAGCCAAGGCGCTGCTGATGCCTGGCCCTCCTCCTTTGCCTCATTCAACTGTTGCTGTGCGGCAGCAGCCGACGCTGCCAAGATCTCCATCTTTGCCTGCCCCAGCGCGCCTCTCTTTGGACAAAGGAGTCCCTTAAAGCAGATCCTAATCATCACTCCAGATAATAGAATTAGGGGAAACCATCCTGGAAAGAACTTCGAGAACCCCCAAACATGCAACTTACTTTGCGGAGCGCAGAAAGGGCAAGGCTCAAACTCACGTTCCAAGGGTGACCTGGTCCCACCTTGTACGTCAAACCCCGCCTCCACCTGCGCCTTGGCCCCGTTCCAGGCTCCTGCCCGCCTCGTGAGGGCCTGGCCAAGAGAGGAAATGATGTGTCCTCCCGCTGAAGTCTGGCAACACATCCTCCAAACGCAACAACCGTCTTTGGGTGACCGGAAGATCCATTGACTCGTCAGGTGGCGTGGCAAGGGTGGTTTCTTCCTTCTGGCCTCTTCTGGCTCCTCTTTAGGCACCCAGACTTTCTGGACACATGGAGCAGGAGATTCAGGCGGGAGCTACCGTCAGGAGGCCGCAACGCAGATCTTTGTTTGCCCCTGCGCCTGCACGCGGTTGCTGAGCTCCTCCACAGAGCTCGCCTCCTACAGCAACAGAAGCAACGCCGCTAAACATGGCCCATAAAAATTGGAACCACAGCAGAATGACAGACCTGCAAGTTAAGTCAACTGTCGCCTTCCCAATCAAACCTGTCAAGGATTCTTCTGCGGAATGCCTGCGACCTGCGCCGATGCCCGCAGCAGGACAGCGAGAAGCGGCCCGACTTGGCGCCGGCTTCTCCTTGGTCACGGCTCCAAGCTGCACTCGACTGAAGACTCCAACCCCCCCTATAAAAACACACCCTGCGACCGCTACTGGCCTTCATCTCGCGCTTCTTCAGCGGCTGCTGATCCAACCTGTCGTGCAGCAGTGCCCGCTCGCCGGGTAAGCTTCACATTGGGTCGAGATTTAATTTGGGATTTTTTTTTGTTTTATTTTGGGTTTTCCGTCCTGGCTACTAAAATGCTGTAATTTACAGCATTTTCTCGCGAAATGTACGTATTTTACGCTAGTCCGTCAACATCATCAGCATCGTTTTCAACATCCCCCGCATGTCCAGCCAACATCCCCAGCATCACCAGCAAATTGGCTTCCCGCATCTCATGGTAAAAGTGAGGATTCAAATACGGGCAAACTAATCCCTGTAAAACACCTAAAACGTGGCGGCAGCCCCCCCCATGATGATTGAAAAAGTGACGACGGCAGCCCCCCCCATGATGATTGAAAAAGTCTAAAAAATTGCAGGGGGGTTGGGGGCGGCGGCAGCCCGCCCCATGATGATCGAAAAATGAAGGGCAAAGAATCTAAAAAGGATCGGTCGCATGATGATCGAAAAAGTGATGATTCAATTAGGGGCAAAAAGTCCAACAAATAGCGGGGGGGTTGGGGGGGGCGGCAGCCCCCCCATGATGATTGAAGAAGTGATGATGCAAAACGGGCCAACAAATATTTAAAAAAAAAGCAGCCGGGGGTCATCAGTTCCTCTGCGGCAAGGCCTCATGGTACAAGTGAGGATTCAAATACGGGCAAACTAATCCCTGTAAAACACCTTAAAACGGGGGGGGGGGGCAATTCCTCCATGATGATTGAAAAAGTGATGATTCAATTAAAGTTCGGCAGCCCCCCCATGATGATCGAAAAAGTGATGATTCAATCAGGGGCAAAAAGTCTAAAAAATTGCGGGGATCGAAAAATTAAGGGCAAAGAATCTAAAAAGGAGCGGTCGCATGATGATCGAAAAAGTGATGATTCAATTAGGGGCAAAAAGTCCAACAAATAGCGGGGGGGTTGGGGGGGGGCGGCAGCCCCCCCATGATGATTGAAGAAGTGATGATGCAAAACGGGCCAACAAATATTTAAAAAAAAAGCAGCCGGGGGTCATCAGTTCCTCTGCGGCAAGGCCTCATGGTACAAGTGAGGATTCAAATACGGGCAAACTAATCCCTGTAAAACACTTAAAACGGGGGGGGGGGCAATTCCCTCCATGATGATTGAACAAGTGATGATTCAATTAAACGCGCGGGGGCGGCAGCCCCCCCCATGATGATCGAAAAATTAGGGGCAAATAATCTAAAAAGTAGCGGTCGCATGATCGAAAAAAGTGATGATTCAATTAGGGGCAAAAAGTCCAAAAAATCGCGGGGGGGTTGGGGGGGGCGGCCCCCCCCATGATGATTGAAAAAGTGATGATTCAATTAGGGCCAAGAAAATATTTATAAAAAAAAGCAGCAGGGGGGTCATCAGTTCCTCTGCGGCAAGGCCTCATGGTACAAGTGAGGATTCAAATACGGGCAAACTAATCCCTGTAAAACGGCAGCCACCCCCCCCCATGATGATCGAAAAAATAGGGGCAAAGAATCTAAAAAGTAGCTGTCGCATGATGATCGAAAAAGTGATGATTCAATTAGGCGTGCATTTTAATCGAAAGGGGGGTGGCGGGGGGCCCAGAGAGGAACTTGCGATGCTGATGATGCAGGAAGCCAAGGCCAAAAACCAACTGGGAAAGCATCAGGATGCGAAAAGCCAAAGCCAGAAAGCCGCCAAAAGCCAAAAAGCCAAAAAGCCAAAAAGCCACCTGCCGCAGCGGAACTGGCAATGCAAAGGATGCGAAAAGAGAGGAACTGTGAATGCAGATGATGCGAAATGAAAAGCCACAAAAGCCACAAAAACCCACGTAAAAGCCACAAAAGCCAAAAAGCCCAAAAGCCACCGACCCTGAAAAACAAAAATAATTCCTAAAAAAAAACGAAAAAATCCTAAAAAAAATGGCCCTCCCTTCACATTGCCCGCACAAACAACTGTCTAGGCCACGCGCCTGGACGGGCTCGTCGCTGGGCTGATCCTTGGGAAGCTGCGCCTCCAAAGCCAAGATCCGGTCCTTCAGATTCGCGAGGGCTGCCTGCAAGTCCGCTTTCAAGCGCTCGGCCCCCTCCACGGCATCCTTGGACTCCTGGACCTTATTCGTCAGCTCCGCCTTGGCCTCCTCAGAAGCCGCTGCTGTAGCCTTGGTCTGCTCCAGCTCCGCGGTCAGTGCGGCTTCCGTCTCCTGGGCCTTCTGAAGCTCGTCTTGACATTGCGCCAGCTCCGCCTAAGCTGGCGACGCCGCGCGGCATGTCAAACACAATGTATTGGTCCACACCCCTTCTCCGTCCCATCCCACCGTGCAATCTCCACTGGCTCACTTGACTCAACCAGCAGTCCGCCGTAAACAAAAGCGCACATGCTGAGCCAAGGCGCTGCTGATGCCTGGCCCTCCTCCTTTGCCTCATTCAACTGTTGCTCTGCGGCAGCAGCCGACGCTGCCAAGATCTCCATCTTTGCCTGCCCCAGCGCGCCTCTCTTTGGACAAAGGAGTCCCTTAAAGCAGATCCTAATCATCACTCCAGATAATAGAATTAGGGGAAACCATCCTGGAAAGAACTTCGAGAACCCCCAAACATGCAACTTACTTTGCGGAGCGCAAAAAGGGCAAGGCTCAAACTCACGTTCCAAGGGTGACCCCCTGTTCCCACCTTGTACGTCAAACCCCGCCTCCACCTGCGCCTTGGCCCCGTTCCAGGCTCCTGCCCGCCTTGTGAGGGCCTGGCCAAGAGAGGAAATGATGTGTCCTCCCGCTGAAGTCTGGCAACACTTCCTCCAAACGCAACAACCGTCTTTGGGTGACCGGAAGATCCATCTCGTCAGGTGGCGTGGCAAGGGTGGTTTCTTCCTTCTGGCCTCTTCTGGCTCCTCTTTAGGCACCCAGACTTTCTGGACACATGGAGCAGGAGATTCAGGCGGGAGCTACCGTCAGGAGGCCGCAACGCAGATCTTTGTTTGCCCCTGCGCCTGCACGCGGTTGCTGAGCTCCTCCACAGCGCTCGCCTCCTACAGCAACAGAAGCAACGCCGCTGAACATGGCCCATAAAAATTGGAACCACAGCAGAATGACAGACCTGCAAGTTAAGTCAACTGTCGCCTTCCCAATCAAACCTGTCAAGGATTCTTCTGCGGAATGCCTGCGACCTGCGCCGATGCCCGCAGCAGGACAGCGAGAAGCGGCCCGACTTGGCGCCGGCTTCTCCTTGAAGCTGCACTCGACTGAAGACTCCAACCCCCCTTATAAAAACACACCCCGCGACCGCTACTGGCCTTCATCTCGCGCTTCTTCAGCGGCTGCTGATCCAACCTGTCGTGCAGCAGTGCCCGCTCGCCGGGTAAGCTTCACATTGCCCGCACAAACAACCGTCTAGGCCACGCGCCTGGACGGGCTCGTCGCTGGGCTGGTCCTTGGGAAGCTGCGCCTCCAAAGCCAAGATCCGGTCCTTCAGATTCGCGAGGGCTGCCTGCAAGTCCGCTTTCAAGCGCTCGGCCCCCTCCACGGCATCCTTGGACTCCTGGACCTTATTCGTCAGCTCCGCCTTGGCCTCCTCAGAAGCCGCTGCTGTAGCCTTGGTCTGCTCCAGCTCCGCGGTCAGTGCGGCTTCCGTCTCCTTGGCCTTCTGAAGCTCGTCTTGACATTGCGCCAGCTCCGCCTAAGCGCCGTGCCACGCGGCATGTAATGTCCAACCCTCCACTGGCTCCCTTGACTCAACAAGCACACCACCGTAACCAAAGGCATAAATGCTGAGATTGGTGCTGTTGCGGCCTGGCCTTCATCCTTTGCTTCATTCAACTGTTGCTCTGCGGCGGCAGCAGACGCTGCCAAGATCTCCATCTTTGCCTGCATCGACGTGCGGAAGGAGTTCCTTGAAGCACATCCTTAAAATTACAATGAAAAAAGGAAAAGCATCCCCGAAAAAAACGTTGAGGGAAAAAAAGAAGCTCAAACTCCGCAATTCGGGCGACCCCTTGGCCCCACCCACATCAAACCCCGCCTCCACCTGCGCCTTGGCCCCGTTCCAGGCACCTGCCCGCCTCGTCAGGCCCTGGCCAAGAGAGCTGGAATCGCCACCCCAGCAGACGTCGCCCTTCCGCCATGGAACCCACCAAAGCGATTTAGACAACGGCCTTCCGGGAACCCAACACTCACGGCACTGCGCAAGGGGGGCGTTGGAAGACTACCATCTAACAAAGGCCCCTGGTCCACTTCACAAGTGTCAGAAACAGGGTAGTTTCGTTTTGAAATCCCTGTAAGAAGCTGGGTAAGCACAGCGCCAAAAAAATCTGAACACTCCCACCCCAAGCGAGAAATCAAGGGGAGAGGGCTCCAGTTGGCAAATGCTGCGACATGAAAACGTATCACCCTGGCGCCTGCAGTCGGCTGCCAAGTTCCTCTAAAGAGGCCGCCTCCTGGTGCAAGAGCCAACGGCAAAAGCAACCTCGTGGAAAATCTGCTTTACAGGCATCTCATCGAAGCTGGGTGCAAAACCTTCAGCCATCCATGTAAACAACCAGCAAGCAATCTGCAATAATTGCGCTGCCCCACACACTGGCTGGTTGCAAACAAGGACCTTGTGTGGAAAGCAAGTCCTCTCGACGGAGTCGTCTGAGCGCCGGGCCTGCGATCTGCGCCGATGCCCGCAGCAGGACAGCGAGAAGCGGCCGGACTTGGCGCCCGTTTCACCTCGGCCCGATCACGCCCAAGCTGCACCCAAGCTACACCCAACGACCGCAAAGCGACTCCTGCACCCCATGGCCTTCACCTTGGGCTTCCTCAGCGCCTCCTGATCCATCCTGTCGCACAGCAGTGCTCGGGGCAAGACGGCGTGACGCGGCCAACACAAACAAGAATCTGGCGAATGGGGAGCCACGCGCCTGCGCAGGCAGGTCGCCTGGCTGGTCGCCAGGCTGGTCGCCAGGCTGGCCGCCGGGCTGGCCGCGACCAAGCTGCGCCTCCAGCGCCAGGATCCGGTCCTTGAAGCTCTCGAGGCCAGGCTGCAAGTCCGCTTTGAAGTGCTCGGCCGCTTGCACGGCATCCTGGGACTCCTGGAGGTCGTCCGTCAGCTCCGCCTTGTCAGCTTCGGCAGCTGCGAGTGCAGCTTTGGATTGCTCCAGCTCGAATTCCAGCGCAGCTTCCGTCTCCTTGGCCTTTTGCAGCTGTACCTCGGCGCCAGCGTTACAAGCTAGACACCATGCTGCAAATAAAAATCATAGGGAGCCTGTGTGTTGACGCACATGCTCTTCTTACCTTGTTCACCTTTGGATCCTGTGCATGAAAAGTTGTGTGTACCTGTATGTTAGCTGTGAGCTCTGCGCTCCTTCACGTGGGTGGTTCTTGCAGGAGCGTTCTTGCAAGGCGGCACCAAAGACCACCTGAAGACTATAGCCAACTCAAGCCAGACAAGGCGGCCCAATAATCCCTGGTTGAGATTCCAAACAATCCCTGAAGCCGTGACTCCCAAAGTCAATGGTGGGTCCCCTCTTTTATGCAATCTCTGCGTTTGGTCCCTGTGGGAGAACCTTCTTGGGTTGGTTATGGGGCCTCCTTTGAAGTGTCTTTGCGATTTCCTTGGCGGAAATCGCAAGGTCCCCTGCTAAAAGTGACTAACTTTTAGTGGTTTTAATTCGGAAAACCCATGAGTTGGCAAAAAGTTAAAGTCCTGACATCCAAGCAAAATGCACCAAAGCATTGACACCCAACAAAAAATGACGCACCTAAACAATAGGCAAGGGGGTAAGTCACCTTGGGAAACAGCCACACGCCACACGTGTCACCTCGCCTGCGCAGCCTGGCTTTCCTCCTTGGACTGCCGCAGCTGATGCCCCAGGTCGACATTTGCAACTTCCAAGCTCTGCAGCCTCACCTGAAACGAGTGGCTCGGCGGCCACGACTTGCCGGTTCGATGCACAATGAGTCGGAATGACCCCAAGCTGAACCATCCAGCTAATGGTGTCCTTTAAGATGGCCCTGAGAAGACGGCCCAAATGGATTATACATTCTTGGAGGGGGGTCCAAGTTCCCGCGTTTTTGAAGGAAGCCTTCGCTTTGGGCTGTGAGTCTGCCGGGTTGCAACGGGAGCCAGCGCGAGGCACGCGATGCTGCCACCGGTAAATGGCAAAGGGATCTCTGCAAAGGGTTGACTTCCTTTTTCCCTTCATGGACCAATGCCAAGGAGAGTTGCGCATCTTTTATGGTTTGTAGTGACATGCATTGCCCCTTTCTTGCCAAGCCCCTGTGGATGTTTTACATATATCCTTTAACAAATGTCCTGAAAGGATAAATAATAACAAAGCATGTGCTTTACTAAATCAGCCGGCAGTTGGGTGATTTCTTAATAGGCCCAAATGAGGGGCCTGTTTCAGGAACTGACGCACTGTAAATGCCAACGTTTTGGAGCAACACCTTGGTGTAGGGCGGGCCGTACGTCTATAAAGGCAATGTATGAATATAGATGTGTATGCATATATATATATATATGTGTATTTATTTATTTATCTATTTATTTATCTATTTATTTATTTAGTTATCTACTTATTTGCTTATTTAGTTATTTATTTACTTATTTTTACTTATATACTTGTTTATTGATTAATATATTTACTTAGTTATTTATTTATACTTACACCGATGTATAAACACATCTTTCTGCAGTAATGTATGCAGCCTATCCTTCAAGGCAACCTGTTTATGGTCAGCCTGCGCTGCAGCGTCCATCGGCTTCCGCTCCTGGCGGGGAAAGAAGAAGCAACCTGCCCACAGACACACACACACAGACACACAGACACACAGACACACAGACACACAGACACACAGACACACAGACACAGACAGGGGGGCGCTCTTTTTTTTGAGGGTCCCTTTTTGGGCGAGTTTCAAATTGAAACGAACTCCTTCACCCATAAATGGGGGGAGGTGGGGGGGGGCAGCCCATTGTGAGACAAACTCAAACTGGCATAGATCTGGGCATTTGTGGAAACAAGGATTCGGACCAAAAAAACGGCGTCCGCTTCCTTTTGGTTTCCACCAAGCCTCAAAATTTACACAGCCATCCGGAAAAAACACACCATGGCAACCCCCAACTTCCGGCGGCCGGCCGAGTATGGCATCGACCGCAAAAAATCAAGTACCAAGACGTAGTCGCCCTGTCTGACCACCACTAGGAGAAGGGAAAAAAAAAAAGGCTGGAGCCTCACCATCCAATCCACAGGCAAGGGTGCACCATCGCAATCCTCGTGGATGCCAAAACAAACATAGCACCTGTAGAAGGGAACCGAAAAGATCAGTTTCCTCTTGAAGGGAGCCCTGCTCAAATGCCATGCTAGTGGGCGGGAGGGTATCTCTTAACATAGCAAACCCCCCGAAATGGTTGGTGTCCCTCTGCCTCCCTTTGAAAGCCAAAAGGGAGCTCCTCAGTAAAACACACGCCCCCCGCCAAAAACAACAAAAACAAGCATCGGATGGCAGTCCGGCCGGGATGCTTTGTAAGGAACAAGAAACCGACATGAATCAACATGGGCCGGGGGTTCAAACGGACACACACACACACACACACACACATGTACCTGGGCACGCATCCGCGTCAGCCCGTTTTTCTCTCCTTCTCCTCCCAAAAGGGAGGGAGCGCTTCGAACTCGTCTTCGACCTGGCGGAACACCCCTAGCAAAGACAGGGCTGGAGGAGGTTCTCGAGGATTGTCACGCAGCACACTTTGTGGTTGACAACTTGGCCCCAGAGTTCCTGCATTTCTCTTTTAACTGGCGGCTTTTCTCAACATCCCAACTTTTGGTCGCCGACTTCACGTCGGCTTCCTTTCGGCGGGGTGGCCACCCCCACGGCACCGTCCAAGGGAAGCCTCCCGGGTCACCGTCTTGAGAGCTCACACTTGCCAGGCCAAGGCCACTGAGCAATGGGGAATCGGCCGCCGTTGGCTGCATATCATTTTCGAAAATAGGACAATACTGCTTTTGAGTGGTCCCTCCATTCGGAAGCCTACGGGAAAACCCAGACACATGTGAGCGTTCCCTGACATAGGGACCCCCTAAAACTGAAACTGGTTCCCTTAAAGGATACATCCAGCAACCGCCCTAAAAGACTTGGGTTCTGGAAATCAACGTTTGGCTGAGTGATTTGCTCGCAGGCCCAAACATATCCTGCTGGTGGGTTCCACTGAAACTGCCACTCTTCAACGTCCAAAGACGAAAATGGGATTGCCACTTCGGCTTGAACAAGTCCTTCCAAAGGAGCCCCGGTTCCTTTGCCCCCCTTTCCACCAACCCCAGAAGGGGCCATCCTCAAAAGAAGCAAGGTTCCCTTTGCACCAAAAAATGCACCAGCACAGACCCCAAATAACGTGGGAGATTACAACAACACCCTGACCAGAACCTGCAGCACCAACCTCGCAGAAACAGCCTGCCCCTCTTTGGAAGTAAGAACCCCTTGTTCAGCTTCCCTCTATTTGGTGGTCTGGATTGGTAGTTTGGTGGTTAAGGAGGGGTTTCCCATTTACTCTCTACAAGAACCAGGGCTCAAATCTCAAAACCACCAATCCAAACCACCAATCCAAACCACCCAAATTGGGGGTTACCTGACTCATAGCTTCCAGCTATCTGGCCATGGGTCAAATCCCGTACCCCCCAGCGAACATCCCAACCCCCACTAAAATAGACTCAACTGGGTGGTGAATTCACCTACCCCAAAATGGGATCCCATTGGTTTTGACAACCATAGCCATCTGGAGGAGAAAAAACCCGCCCAACAAATCCCCCGGCCCTTCGGCCCCCGTTTCGCAGCTTCCCTGAACCCCGGTTTCTGGCCTCCGCTTCCGCCGCGAGCTGCTTCTCCAGGGCGGTGACCGCTGCGGAGGTGGCGAACAGCCGCGCCTCGCGGAGCGATCTGCCGATTTCGCCCCCGTTTCAAGGTTCAAAGTGGGACACCAAAAACGCACCGTTGGGGTGGGTTTGCCTGTCTCCAAATGGGGAAACCTAGACGGAAAAAAAATGGTCTGCTTCAAAACGGCGTTGCAGGCTTGGGTCACAACACCTGCCGAACTGGTTGGTTTCCTCAAGAAAGAGACACACACACACACACACACACACACACACACACACTTACTTGGCAGCGTGGCAGAATTTGGAACAGGTGTTAAAGACGAAACTAAGAGGCTGCCAACTACATTGAAAGAAAGGGTTCAGTACCTTTTGTCCTTCTGGGCTCAAAAATGCAAAAAATCAAGGGGGAAAAAAAAACACGCTCCGTCTGCTCAGGACAGCAGTGCAGTGCAAGTCCACGTCGCGAGCCTCCGCCTCCGACTTGTCCCGCTTCAAGGCGTCGAGCCGCTGAACTAAGGCCTGCGTCAAGCGACCGAAATGAGGCCCAACTTGTTGGGAAACCCCCCACCAAGCAAGAGGGGGGTTGGGTTGGGGGGTGGGGGGGGAGTGTTTGGGGGTTAGGGGGGGGGGGGGGGGTAGTCGGGTTTGTTGCAACCAAATTACGGGGAAGGAAGGCATGCCAAAATCAGGTGGAGGGGTTTTCAAGAGCAGGGCCTTTGGACGTAGTAAAGATAGAATTTCGGCCCACCAACCCCCAAGCAAGAATTTGGAAGCCAGTTCGCCCCCTCGCCTGCAGTCGGTTGCCAAGCTCCTCCACAGAGCCCGCCTCCTGGTGCAAGAGCCGGCCAGCAGCAAACGCAACCCCTTTGCTTCCGCAGTCGACAGAAGTGTTCAACCATCCATTGATAGATCGGTGGCTATCGAGCGAGTCAAGGTAACTGTTCTAGCTAGACATGCTCGAGGGCCCAAACAAAGAATGCAAATCTGCAAGTCAAGTCACCTGCCACCTTCCCAACCAAACCTGCCTGGGACCTTCGCCGTTGCCCACAGCAGGACAGCGAGAAGCGACGCGACTTGGCGGCCGCTTCGCCTTGGCCCAGCCCCGCCCGCTCCCGCACTGGCCGGAACCCTCTCAAGGGCTCAAACTCTGGACCCCACGACTCCAAGCCTGGCCTTCATCTGCTCCAACCTGTCGTGCGGAAGTGCACGCCGGCCAAACGTAAAGCATGGCAGACTGGCCGCATGGTGGCCCAACCAGCGTCTGATTCGCAAGCTTGCGCGCGCCTGCGCGGGCTCATCGGGAAGCCGCAGCTCCAGCGCCAAGATCCGGTCCTTCAAACTTGCCAGGCCCGGCTGCAAGTCCGCTTTGAAGCGCTTGGCCGCCTCCACGGCATCCTTGGACTCCCGGAGTTCCGCCGCCAGCTCCGCCTTGGCCTCCTCTGAAGCCGCCGCCGCAGCCTTGGACTGCTGCAGCTCCGCCGTCAGCGCGGCTTCCGTCTCCTTGGCCTTCTGAAGCTCGTCTTGACACTGCGCCAGCTCCGCCTCAGCACTACAACGGGCCGAGTGCATCCAACCAGCCAGTTTGCTGAACGACTGAACGCTCAGGTCAATTGAGTCTACTTATTTGTTTCTGACACAACAAAAGCGTTACAAGCATACTGAGCCAGGTGCCGCTGCAGTCTGGCCCTCCTCCTTTGCTTCTTGCAAGTGCTGCTCCGCGGCCGTCGCAGAAGCTGCCAAGATCTCCATCCTGGCCTGCGATCACCCGCCCTCCCCACTTAAAGCACGCCTCCCAAAACGTGGGGGCAAAAACGCAAAGGCAGCAAGAGACCGAAAAAGGAGGCGCGCCCTCCCACCTCCACCTCTGCCTTGCCCCGTTCCCAGGAGCGTGCTCGCTTCGTCAGGCCCTGGCCACATGCACGCACAGGGCTTTTTATGCAAATATAATATGGCCCTCTGGCACCCTCAACTGTGCCCAGGAAAGAATGGCCAGGATTGTTTCCGTGAAAACCCACGAGAATTGCCTTAGTTTACGGCTGGCTTGTTTGCAGTGGAATCCCTGCAGAAAATTGTAGCGGCTGAGGTTCCAACAACAAATTGTAGTCGAGCGCATCACTTGCCTGCAGCCCTCGTTCAAGGCTTGGAAACCACACGCAGCCAGGTGTTGCTATGGGAACCCAGGAGCAAATAGATTCCCTGTTGATTGGTAGGTGGGCCACACGAGAGGGAATCCTGAACTTTTTGGGGCACACACCCGCAGGAGCACCTCCAAGCGGCTTCCAAGCTCCTCGATGGACACAACCTCCTGGACGGCGGCAACACCAAGCTGCAAGTGACTCCCCAACTCACGAAAGCGTCACAAATCGAAGCCTGGCATTCACATTCCTCTCCTCCCTGATCTGCCACAAAACAAACTTTTGCCAGGTTCCCCCTCCAAAGGTTCGGCTACAGCGAGGGCGAAGCACTGTTCCAAGGAAAAGCCGTTAAGAGCGGCGCGTGAGGCCCAGTCCTGCGCCCTGCGCCGCGCGCACCATGCGGAGAGGCCAACCATGCTGACCGGGTCACCACCTGGAATCAGCTGCGAACCCCCGCAACGTCCAATGCTTCATGCGCCAATCGGCCGATACCCTCAGGCTCAGAAACAAACGCGCGCAAACCGTCAGCCTCTCGCCTGTCCCTTTCCAGGTTTCGACTCCAAACTTCAACCAGCGCGGTGGCAAACAACTGCACGGAGCTGCATGCATTGCGCACGTCCACCCTCCCCCTTCTCCACCCGATGCCAGCATGACGCCTTCGTCTTGGACACCTGCTGAGCCTCTCTCGCTGGCCTGCACGCATCTGGTGCACTCACCGGTTGAGAAGGGTGCATCCAAAAGCAACAAGTTCAGGAGACACAAGAAGAGAACGTTCCCCCGGCACCACAAGCACCAAAAGGCGGCTGACAAACCCACCAGCACAGGACATGCCGAAAACAGGCCGCCGACTTGCCTCAGGCTCCGCCTCCAAAGCCGGCAGCTCCGCCTCCAACGCCAGGATCCGGTCCTTCAAATTCGCCAGGGCCTTCTGCAAGTCCGCTTTGAAGCGCTCGGCCGCCTCCACGGCATCCTTGGACTCCCGGACCTCCGCCGCCAGCTCCGCCTTGGCCTCCTCCGCCGCGGCCGCCGCGGCGCCGCACTGCGCCAGCCTCACGCTGGCCGCGGCCTCCGCCGCCGCGGCCGTGCGGAGCTCGGCTTGGGATTGCGCCAGCTCCACCTCAACACCCACAGGCGCCAACATCCGGCCATTTGTCCATTCCAAACCTCTAGACCTACTCTTCCCGAAAAGACACCGCCCAAAAACCTGGATTAAACAGCTGGTTGACAAGAACGAGGGTTGACAAGAATGGAAAAGGAATCAACCCCGTTCCAAACCTGCCCATTCGAAGTGCCCGAAAGCCTGGCGAACCTATGCCCGGGCGCCATTGCTGTCTGGCCCTCCTCCTTTGCCTCCTGCAACCGTTGCTCCGCGGCAGCCGCGGACGCGGCCAAGATCTCCATCTTGGCCTGGCGCAGCCAACAGCCACCCCGCCAAACCCAGCGTGCCAGGGATGTACCCAAGAGACGCAATTCCAGCCCACCCACTCGGAAAAAAAGGGCAATTCTCCGGACATCGCCCCAAAAAACAAAGTCGCCCTTTTTCAGGTTCCGACTCTCAAAATTAAACTCGCCTCAAGGAAATTTCGACCCAAGAACCGCCCAAAACACCTCAACGCTCCAGCTTGCGCCTCTGCCTGGGTTCTGGCCCGGTTCCAGGTGCTTGCCCGCCTCGTGAGGCCCTGGCCAAGGACGTGTGTTTTTGCGCCCGGGGTTGGCCCTCAAAATTGGGGCCGGGGGGGGGGGGGGGCAACAAAAACAGCTGCGTTCCTTGGCTTTCCCAAAAAAACATGAGGTCGTTATTCCTTGGAACTCCCGAAAAGAAAAAGCTTCTACCCCCAACAAAAGACAGCCCCTGTATGCCCTGAAGAAAAACCACCAAAAATAAAGCAAAACGATTCTGGAGCAGAGGGTGCCAAGGCCAGCTTCCGCAGCAGGTAGGGATCCCTAACGGCACCAAATTGACACAAGTGTCCAACACAACATGAGACATGGGTTGAAACATTTCGCCAATTCTGCCGCAGTACTGCAAGATCAGTCCCTCACCAAAATGGAAAGTGTCATTGGCAGGCTTGTTATGGTACTCTTGCTTCCTCGGTAAAAATCGGTATGCCTGCGCTCTGCATCTGATGGATACCGAGATGGGCTGCTTGAGAAACGCACGGGATGTCACCGTTGGGTTCGAACTGCCTAGTTTGAACCACTCCCAAAAGGCCAACATCAACATCAGCTTCCCGCTTAGCGGTTTGGAGTACGGGCTGGTCTCCCATCTCTGTCAAAAAGCCAGGGGGCTCACATCCAAATCCAAATCCAATCCAGACCAATTCATGGGGTACCTCACTAAAGCTGTCAGCTGGCACCTCCAGGCGGAAGCCGAGCTCTTCCATGGACGTGGCCTCCTAACAGCCGAGGCTGAATGAACGAACCTCTTTCGTCGTCGCAAGGTGACGTCGAAAGGTGAAAGCAACCAACAAATACGCGTCATGAGAGAAAAACAAAGCATCCTTTTTCGGTTGCTTCAAAAGGGGAACCTTTCCAAAACAAAGGAAAAACGGGCGCCGCTGGGCAACTGGGTTCCCAAACAAAGAAAGAAAAGAAGTCGAAAACTGAGACGGCTCTTGAAGCTCTGAGCGCTTCCAATACAGTAACGCGGGTACCGGATTGATCACCCTGACAAATCAATGATCAATGGGGTGTTTCCCCAAAGTAACCTAGAGTGGGACACCCCCTGCCAGTCAACCAAGCAACTACTCCTTGACTTCCATTCGCACAAGATCTTGTTCGCCGAAAAGTGTTGTTTGACATGGCTTTGTCTTCCTGGTTCAAAGGTAAACTGAGGGCAGCGACTCACGCCATCCTACCCATCCGTCCTGCGGCCGACGCTTGGCACAACACGTCCAACTGCGCCCGTGCACGTCGTCGCCTCCATTCCCTGCAAGGCTCAAAGCTACAAAGGTCCGACTCTTGGTAGCCACTTGGTCGCTCTGCAGTCGATTTCCCTACAACCCCATGAGAGAAGACTGCCTTAAATCGCAGGCGAATGATAGTGGCCCCTCAGCCGATCTGAATTGCAAGACGGCCTTTAACAAGGCACCTTCCCAATGCTCCCTGGACGTACCAGCATTGTTGAGAGGCATTGGTCCAATAGCGGCGGCTGGGTTCCCCAGTTCAGGCGGCACTCCATTTGACCGGCCCAAGGCAGCGACAACAAAGCTCAAGTTGCCTGATTGATCAGCGCCCAACTAAGAGAGGAAGCAAGCCGTTTGCAGCCACCCCAGATTCATCACCGTTACTTAAAAACGAGCAACGGGATGTCGACATGGGTGTAAAAAACATAGGGCTCCAGTCCTTTCCCCCCCGTTCCGGAAGCCTTCGCCTGCGCCTCTGCCTGCTTCCTGGCCGCGATGTCTCTAAATGGACACATGGACATGCAGCGTGTTTTGACCTTGCGGCTTGTCGATCAGAGACTAGTACCCTCCGGTGATACTTGCCTCAAACTACGGGAAGGAGCTAAACATGGCTCCGAGAAGTGTGTTTTCAGCATGGCACATTGGCATATATGTGTGATGGGCATAGCAGCGTTGGTTGCATTCTACCGACCTGATCCTCAAGTTCAAGAAGGTGTTGCGAGGCGCAAAAACACAAAACCAAACATCCAAAAACAAAGTCTAATAGGGGCGAACACTGCCGGCAGCAATGTCGGACTCTTGCCAGCCGTTCAAGCATCCCACTCCCTCCAAGCAGCCCAGCACGCACGCAGTGCTTCAAACCAGCCCGGTGCCTGGACAGGTTGGTCGCCGCTCTGAAGCTGCGCCTCCAGCGCCAGGATCCGGTCCTTGAAGCTCTCAAGGCTGGGCTGCAAGTCTGCCTTGAAGCGCTCGGCCGCCTCCACAGCATCCTTGGACTCCTCCACCTTCGCCGCCAGCGCCGCGTTGGTCTCCTCCGCCGCCAAAACCGCGGCCTGGGCCTGCTGCAGCTCCGCCCAAACCGCGGACTCCGCTTCCTCGGCCCTCTGCAGCCGCTCCTCGACGCTGGCCTTCGCCTCCTGCCGCGCCTCGGCGGCGCCCTGCGTGCGCCGCAGCTGGTCCTCCAGAGCCTCCAACGCCGCTTGGGCCTGCTCCGGGCCGCCCGGCTGCGCCTGGCGGCAAAGAAGTGCCCGTTTTTCTCGCAGGAAGGGAAGGAGAAAAAACACATTCACGCGAACCCGGCCTCCACCTGACCTCCGGTCTCATCTTCATCCTCCTGCCACAGTTAGGCCCCCGAAAAGGTCGGCTCCTTTTCAACTTGCTGGCGCTATAGGCAGGGAATGAGAAAACCATTCCCTAGAGTGGAGAGACAAAATCCTGCACCACCTGAGAAACTCTGGAATCATGATTCCCCTGTAAATACCAACAAGCAATGGTTTCAACCATGGTTTCATTTCGTGGTGCGAAATGGATTTCGCAACCATTCTCCGTATGGTTTCCTTTAAGGGAATCCCCCAGGGTTCACTTCCCCATTCCCTACAGCGCGCCCGAGTCAAATCGCCTCCCAAAAGGTCGGCAGCCACTCGAGGTCCTCCCTCGAGACCTGGCGCTCAGGAAATCCGCTCTGAGTGAGGTATGGTTTCCACCCAAAAAGTGTAATGGGATATGGCTCCGTATTTTTGCTCATGACTTGAACTGCTGGAGCAGATTCAAACAAAAGGGGGGGGGTGCCCAATAAATATCTGAGTTTCTGACCCACACCCACATGCGACCACTACTCACTACTCGTGGCTTGGGTTACCACGCCAGCTAGCTACAGTATCTTGGCCTAAACCTGGAGGGGTGGCACGAAATAATATCGGCTTCGGATTCGGATTTCCTTTGCCAAAATCTCACTTGGAAACAAAGTTCACCCACCCAATAAGCAAATGCTGGTTCCATTTCAAAAACTGAAAAGCACGAAGAGCGTGGCCCAAAGGACCATACGGGGTGCCTGCAAATCCAAGGCTAAAAATGCACAAAGTGTGAAGGTGTCCCTCCAAATGGGCCATCCCGCCATGGTTTTATTACTCTAAGGTGGACACTCTTTCATGTCTAAGCGGCCGTAACTTGACTTGACCATGACTTCGCTATTCCTGGGCCAACATCAACCGCCGACCTCCCCGCCTTCTAGACTACCAACAATCTCACTACAATCCCTCCAACCAGGGAATCACAAAACAAGGGTTTTGGGCGCTGCTACTCATGTCAAGAATCAGGTCCATACCCTTTGCTAATGACTCATGCCCAACTAACCCTGAAAACCTGGCCGCCGGCTTTCCTAAGGACCTCAGTTCAATCCTGGATCCAGACAAGGATGCCCCAATCGTAAACCATGTCAGCCATCATGACATGTAGTTCCAACAGCAAGGACAAAGTAAGCGCATCACACGCATAGCCAAAGGAAGCTCCCTTTTGGCCCCCCAAAAAAACCTCCTTGGTCGACTTCTGCTCCTTTTCGGAGGCGGCCCGGTAGCTCTGCAGCTCCGCCTGGAGGCTGCAAACGAAGGTATGTCTTGAAGAAATACTGCAAATACGTGAAAATATGCAAACAAATATGCGTACACGCACATATGCAAATATGTGTGTGTGTGTGCGCGCATATCTGCGACTGTACCTCGAGATATGTCTATGGCTGCCCTTTTCTTGTTTTTTCCCCAGGGGTCCAATTTAATGTGGGTTTAAGGTGGAGGCTGGGTGAGGAAGGGGGTTTGTGATTGTAGGGTAGGGTGTGGGTGGGTGGGTTTACGGGCAGCCATATTAGCTTCTGGCGTCCCTTCAACGGACCAAATTAAAAGGCAAGCAAACATTGTGCTCCTGTGGAGAGCAGCTGAATAGGGAGCTGCGTGAACCAGCTCAATTGTGCCATTCCAAAACCTGGAAAATGATTTGGATCCCCAAGTCCAGACCGAATTGAATGGAGTTTCGCTCGTTTTACCCCAACTGTTCACCGGAAATCGAGCTGGCCCGCCCCTGTTCATGTGCTCACGCCCAAAAAACTGGCGGGTACTACCTGCTACTAAAATGGGTCTTTGTCTTAACGATCCTAAAGAAAAGACACGACTCCGCACCTCCACCTCCCCCTTCTTCGTCTCCAGGTCCCGAAGGCGATCCGCCATGTCCTGGCGGGCGAGCCCGGCGGCTTGTCGGCTTGTCGGGGACGGAGAGAGGCGCCTTGGGGGGATGGACCCCCTTTTGCTTGGCCCTGAGAAGGAAAACCACGTGGGTGTGGGTCAAAGTTAAACCACCAGGAATTGGACCGCAGGTTTTAGTCCATGTTTCCACTTGCGGAGGTTCGATTTTGGGCACCTATTTTTGACCCACAGCCACGTGGCTGACCCAGAACCATGTAAAGAATTCTGGGATCCCTTACTAACCTTCGCCTACGCGGGTTTGGATTGTGACTCACGTGAAGAACATGGAAAGAAGATGGGGAAAGGGAGGGGGAGGTGGAAACCCCAGTGAGCTTTCTTAGGGTGCCCGTTTGGGCTTCTGTTACAGAAGAATTGGCAACTTGGAGCTGCCACAAATGAAGTTCGCACAAAACGGCCATGCCGCCTACAAGCACAATCTGACAAACAGGCGTGTCCCACAAGACAAAGTGCAACACTGATTGCCCCCTCCAGTCAAGCAGGATGCAACTGGCAGACTTTCTGCAAGCCTCTGCCTTAGCCGAAGAGTCAAAAGCGCAAAGCCAAGCGCAAGGGGCTCTCCTGAAGCTTCCTCGTCAGCTCCGCCTTGGCCTCCTCCGCAGCTGAGACCGTGGCCGTGGACTGCTCCAGCTCTTCCGTCAGCTTGGCCTCCGCCTCCTTGGCCCTTTGCAGCTCCAGCTCCACGCTGGCCTTCGCCTCCTCCCGCGCCTGGAGCGCCTCCTTCACCTGCCGCAGCCGGCCCTCCAACGCCTCCACGGTGGCCTGGCGCTCCTGCAGCTCCTCCAGCGCCGCCTTGGCCTCCAAGGAGCCGCTGCTCTGCAATCGCTCCAAGTCAGCGCGGCACTGACCCAGCTCCGCCTCGCAGCACAAGGCAAGAAGAAGGCGCTGCGGGCGTTCGAACTCCCCCACGCTGCGAGAAAGATCGAGACTACAAAAACAACGTGAGCGCAAGAACTCTCGGCAACGTGCCTTGGTGGCTACGCATTCTTCCTTGGACTCCCGCAACTGCTGCTCCAAGTTGGCAGCCGCAGTTGCCGAGCTCTCAGCCCGCGCCTAGCCGCACAATCCAGCCATGGTGCCTGCCCTGATTCTCTCGACCTCCCGCGCCTCTGCCTCCTCCTTGCCCTGCTGCAGGGCCTGCAGCTGCTCGGACATCTCCTGACGCAAGCGCCAACGCGCACGCGCGGTTTTTTGCAGGCGCCAGAGGCGCGCACATGACTTTCAAGAAGCAATGGGTACAGCCCGAAATGAAAAAACGGCCCCTTTTTGGTTGGTGTTGGGGAACGAACCATTTGGGTTCCTCCCTACATTTTGACAAAATCCTGCCCCAGCTGGTGGTTTACTGCAGCTTTCACCGGGCTTCATTCATCCCAACCCTTCAAATCCTGGTTGCTGTTGACCCCTCTGCAAAAGTTTATATTTTGTGGGGTCGATCCCCTTAAATTACCATTACAATCAAAGAATGGTCAATCTCCCTTTGCCGACAAACCAACGAAAAGTGCCATCCATGTAGCTTTGACACCTTCCCTTCACGAATCCCTCGGCCCATCCTTGTCCGTTTCGCCTGCGCCCTTGGCCTCTGCTTGGGGCTCCTCCTCCTCCTCCTCGTGTTTCGGCGCGCCGGGCGCTCAAATCTCCAAGCCGCCAAACCCGCCGCCACAATGCCCAAAAAAGCAAACACCTCACAAAACCAGCAAATGTTGAATATTGCATCCGGAGGGAAACCCTTCAGCCCCAAAAAAAAGACGAGAAACACCTCCGGCGTCCAAATCCACCCTTCGGACTCGGCATCGCAACATCGATCTCGGGCCTCACAGAAGCTCGGCAGCGCCTCCAAGTCCTGTCGGTGGACGACATCCATTTCGCACCACGTGGATGCCGTGGGAAACCAGAACGTTTGTCTGGTGGTTACAGGGGGGATCATCAGAAACCAGGGTTTCTTAGGTGGTGCGAAATGGATTTTGTCCGTCCGCAGTAGTTTGTCCGCTAGCGTGAGTGTGTATTGAACGGCTGATGGTCTTTTCAACCGTGTCGTCCATGATGGTTGCAAAACTGTGTGACAGGCATCGTTGTCCTAGTCTTATGAGGGAATGTCGCGGAACTGCACCACCCCTAATACAGTTCATTTCCAAAACCGCGGGGTATTCCCAAATGACGAGAGGGCGGCTTCTTTAAGTGGCCCACGTGTCCTTAAAAGACAAACCTTCCAAGCTCCCGCAAAATGAATATGATGCGCGAGTGTCTTGACCACTTGTTCTGGCACAGGAAAGCTGGCAGTTCTTTAAAACACTGATGGTAGTCAGGCCAGGCACCCAAATTCCCCGGGGAGACGCTGTGCCAAACCTGCCATGAGGGAAAGGACAGCGCATCTTTTCAGGGACCTCCCCCCTTCCATGCGAATTTACCATGCTGCCACCCCGTGCTTGCCACAACACAATCCCGCAGATCGGATGGCCAGCTCCTTTGGCTCTTCCTTGGATTCCTTCTTGCACTTGAGCTCTTCCTCCAGTTCCTGGAGACCGCACGCGGCTCGTCTCAAGCAAGCCGTAGGCCCGTAGGCAAACAAAACATGCCTGCGGGAAAGGAAAAATAAAGCAAAAAACAGCTCAAGCTCAAATCCCTTGGCTCTCCTTGACTTTGGCCGCCAGCGAAGCCTTGATTTCCTCACAAGCCTCTGCCACGGCCTTCGACTGCTCCAGCTCTTGCGTCACCGCGGCCTCTGCCTCCTTGGCCTTTTGCAGCTCCAGCTCCATGCCGGCCTTCGCCTCCTCCCGCGCCTGGAGCGCCTCCTTCATCTGCTGCAGCTGCTCCTCCAAAGCCTCCGTGGCAGGGTTTTTGGATCACTCGCAGTTTAATGTTGACCCAGGATTAATAAACCCCTGTTTATTAATATGGAGGTGTTCCCCTCCAAAAGTGATAAATCCCCACTAAAACCGGGGACACCCCCTATTAATAAACAGGGGTTTATTCATCCGGGGTTAGCATTATCCAACCACTTCTGCAACGGAAAGTAGTCTTTTTGGGAAACACGCTATCAGAGAGGGGAAAATGTCTTTGGGAAGCCCTTCTTGTAACACCGGCCCGTGGAATCCACAGCCATCTGGGCATGGGCGAAAATCCCCTACCCACAGTGAACATCCCAATCCAACCACTAGAATAGGTCCTAAAATGGCTGGTGAATTCACCCACCAACCAAAATGGGAACCAAAACGGCTTTGACCATCACGGCCATCTGTGCCTCCATGGTGGCCTTCCGCTCCAGCGCTTCGGCTTCCAGCGCCGCCTGGGCGCCGCTGGCCGCCTGCAGCTCTGCCTGGCCCGAGACATGCGAAATGCGACGAACTCAGCCCGCCCGACACGTCGCGCTGGGGGACCTGCCGCGTTTCCCGGGGGGAAACCGCGCCATGCCCAAAGTCTCACAAATGGTTTGTTTGGACCTTCCGCCCAGATGGTTTCACAGTGAAAAGGAAGCCAACAATTTGGACGGATGCTTGGCAAAGAATACTCAAAATGCCTACATGTGCACACTCGTGCAGAATGGGGTCATGCTGCTCTTGATCACATACGTGCGTGCTGTGCATGGACCTTGCAAATCAACATAGCTGGACTAAACAACTCTTACTATTAACAAAACACGGAAGCCGTTTTCGATGCCCCTGTGCAATGAATGCATATGACCTGCCGGCACACCTGTCGTGAGCCAAGCCTTGGCGGCCACGTACTCTTCCTTGGACTCCCGCAACTGCTGCTCCAAGTTGGCAGCCGCAGTTGCCGAGCTCTCAGCCCGCGCCTAGCCGCAAGCAATCGAGCCATGGTGCCTGCCCTGATTCTCTCGACCTCCCGCGCCTCTGCCTCCTCCTTGCCCTGCTGCAGGGCCTGCAGCTGCTCGGACATCTCCTGACAGGTCACGCACACGCCGAGGGGTCGTGCTTGTAACGGCGCCGAGGCCGTGCGTGCCGGTTCAAACAGGGTGCCCCGGGCCTTCACGCGCTCGTCCAGCGACGCTTGTGTTGCTTGAAGGTCTGCCTCGCCATGACGCGCGACATGATCGGTCATATCTCTCGCACCAAACACCTACAGGTTCTATGTCAGCAGGGCAGACAAGCTTTAAACAACACACGCCATGTTGGTGCTACGTATGGCTCACCCGTTGATTCCTTTTGCGACCCTTCCCTCGGGCGCCTCCAGCTGGTCCTTGCGCTGCCTCAAGGCGGCCAGCCCTTCAGCTACAGCCTCGGTCCGCGTGGATGTTGTTGCCGGGAAATGCGTCGGTCTCCCCTGCGTCGATTTGGAGCGGGCTACTAGTCCCCTGTATGTACATGACACTAGCAGTAATGCGTAGGTCTCCCCCGGTTTTCGCAGGAAGTTTCGTGAGCCCCCCCTTGGTTCACCGCAAGAGCCACGCACAGCGACACCCCCGAAACCTCGCAGGTAAAGATTTCCGTTCATTCGAGTCGGGGCACAAATGTTTCCGATGGTCCCAAACCCCCGTCGAAACTGCTGCCGCCTCCACTGCCAGTCGTTTGATTTGTCCGGTCTCTGTGACACTGCGTCAGTGTTAGGGGGAGCCCTGCCAAGGAATTTGAGAGGAGGCAAGGCTCCGGAAAACTAGCTTCCAACAGAAAGTCCACTGCCGACTCCCATGCAAAACAACACGGAACCCAAGAACGGCATCCATGTCCAAACATGGAGGCTCCTCCGATAGGAGTGTTTTGCGAACCCCATGCTGACCTGCAAGTGAAAGCAAACAAACATCCACTGAACTGAGTGTGTGTTTGTTTGTGTTTTTTTTGTGTGGGACCCAAAAAAATATGCTTTCCAGTGGGGTAGAAGGACAAACTGGCTGATGGTGCTTTGGCCCCAGCCCCCAAGTTGTAGCCCGCATCCTTCACAGCCTGCCGGATGCAAAAAAAAATGGTTGCCAGGAAGTCGAATTAGATTCTAGCTTTGGTGGATGCACAAAGGGAGTTCGGTGGATGCCCTAAATATTGCAAACAAGGGAACAAAAAAGCATCCACTTGGTCACGGTTGCGCTGGTCGCCTGGTATCAAGCACTGCTTTTGTCATTGTTCTTGTCAAGTGCTACCTTTCCCCCTATCGACTCACCGCAAACGCCTCCAACTGGGGGTGGGGTGGGGGGGGGGAGGATTGCGTTCGGTACCCGGACTCTGGCCCACTTGAGTCCTGCGAAAATGTTACAAACCAGTGTCTTGTTGAATTGTGTCAGCAAACGTGATGTTTCCGGCATTTATTCTGATGGTGCATTGTGGTGGCCAAAGGCAGTTCGCATCCTCAAAGTGAAGTTTCATCAGGTGAGCCACCACCATTTTTCATCAGGCGTAACAATAATTCGCATGTTTATCTTCATTTGAAGCAACGAACTTTCCAATTCGTGTGGAGACGAAGTTTTGGAACTGCTTTGCCTATTGCTTTGTTGGGGGCATTGGCGAAATTGTTGCGCAGCTGGCCGAAAGAAGTAGTTTTGCATGTTGATAATGAGCAAAAACCTAACATGTTTGACAGTCACGGCTCCGAAAACACCAGGCGACTAGGGCAATCGTGACCGCAAACAAGGGAACAAGGAAGCATCCACTCTACTGCAATTGACCATGTTTTGCTGGTTGAGCGTGGTTGCTTTAATGTATTTCGGGCATCCACCGTACAACCGTACAACCCTTGAGGTTGGCAACACCCATCAATCTGCGCAATCTGAATCGACATGCAAAAACCTGGGGAAGTTGGGCTAGCAGGCCCTCCACCCTCCCAACACCTCCAACCCCCCCTCCCAAACCCCCCACCACCACTCCCTTTGTGGCCGAACCCAGATTGAGAAACTCTGCACATTAGAACCGCACGCCCTTCACTGAAATGGGGCAACCCGATGAAGCAGCCCGGTTGAATTTGGGGTCAATAGCCCTGGCTCATCGCCTCATCTTCCTGTATCGACGCCAGGATTGCTTTCCTGCGCGGCCATCGAGGTCTGTTGGGGATGTGACATGAAAAACCACAGTCAGGTATCCAAGCTTGCCTGGCATCCAGGCAAGAGCCGTTTACACTCCCACGAACAAAGCTTAAACAGCGGCTGTGCGGCTCCATGTTTCTGATTGTGAATTTCAACCTGTGATACGAGATAAGTGCAAAAGGGGCAAGTCCCAAAAAAAGATGTCACTTGGTGCTCTGAACTTGCTCTGAACCTCTGAACCTGGCCAGTCGTTCTTGGTCTTGCTGCTTATCGCCTCAAAGCCGCTTTGTTCCAAAAGGAGGGGGACCCTGAAACTGAGCAGCTGTCCTGCAGTTTCCTCTTAAAACAACCCTTTCTGCCAAGGAAGCTTGAATGAGAGTATGCACGTGCCTTACAAGCCCATGGCGGCACACAAGCCAGGGCCCCTGCCTCCCAAGGCCCATGCTGGATGCCCAAAATCAACTAAAACGGCGCCCAGCCTCCCCAGAAACTGTCTGGAATCTCGGCCCACACAAAGCTGGGATTTTGAGGCAGCTCACCCCAAAGCTGAGAAGAAAACAACGCAATTTTGCAAGCTGAATGGTTGAAACAAAAGTATCCCGAACAGCAAGCCTCCTTCAAAGCAGCTTCCCTCTTGCTTGGTGCTTCGGGGTGTGCAACATTTACCACAAGAACCAGTGCTCCATATCCAAACCAATGGGTCACCTGACCAACCAAGGGGCTACCACCAACCAACCAACCAACCGACCGACCGACCAACCGACCAACTAACCAACCAAGAGGATTCCACCAACCAAACCAACCAAGCAAGTGACCCCAAACAACCAAGGGGTCAACACCACCTATCCAATCCAAGCAAGGTGACCCAAAGCGCTCCAGCGCCGCTGCTCCAGCTCAAAGTTCACCTTCACCTGACGGAACGGAAGGAAGGGAAAACTGAAACCGGCGGTTTGCCAGTCTTTTGCTTGTCAATGGGAACACCGCAAAGCCGTTGCCCCAAGTGAAACGCCAAAGTTCTTAAAAATGATAGGCTCAAGTGGGTAGCAATTCACCTAGCGCAACGGGAATGGGGTCCACAGATTGTGCGTCGCCAAACTGCGCCAAAAGTGGCGGCTTTGTCTTCTCCCCTCATACGCAGCTCTTTAGCCATACGAAAGCCACAGAAAGAGGGGCCGAATCCGATAAAGTTTGGCGATTGCGTGAGCAAGCGTCCTGGTAGCGGTCGGGCCTCATTCTTCTCCTCTCGCACCTTTGCCAGCTCTTTCGCAAGTCCTGGCGTGGCCGCTCTTCATCCACCAACGAAATCTGGCTTGGTCTTCCCTGATTCGCTGCTAGCTAGGTGGCAACGCTTCAAATAGTTTTACAAACCGTGAAAAAGGCTATGTCGGTTGCCCTTTTGGCACTACGACGACTAAAAATCGGGCCAAACGGAAACTCAAGAAGTCACAGGTCGATTCGCTTTGGACAGCAACCAAAACCAACAACTCGCGAACCAGCCAAGGCTGACTCTTTGCAATTCTGCAGCTGAGAAGAAACAGTTTGGTGGTTTGATGTTTTCCCAAGGCCCTGAATCGCCCCCTTTGCGACCCCCGGAACCTCGTCCCGCACATGAAAGATTCATCGAATCGCACGCTCGCATCCTGCTACGCGAGTCTCAGCGCTGGTCTGGGCCAGCGTCAGATCCTGCGTCTGAGGAGCGGAGGCTGAGAAACAAACCGAGAAAAAGCCAAAAAACAGCAGAAATATAACAACAAAAAGCCAAACAGCAAAAGAATCAGAAACGCCCACCAACCAGCCAACACACCTGTCGGTAGTTGAGCCAAATGCAAACGCTGGTCCGGGCACATTTGAAGACGAATCACCGAAACCAGGAACTGGATCCCTTGAAGTGCACATTTTGAAGGGGTCTCCAAATTGCTTCTGGAAGGTGGTTTCCCTTCCAACAACCTGGAGGATGTCACTCAGAGAACTGTGGAGGATGTCACTGGGACCCCGAGAAGCGGGGGGCTGCGTGACTCGAGCTCCGGCTCCTTCTCCAGCCTCGCGATCCTGGGCGCGGGGTCCTTGGCCTTTGGCCCCAAAGCGAACAAGGATGGGACCTGTCATTTTTCCTCAGATTCGGCACCAAGGCCCAAGCCCAGAACCAGGCTTCAAGAATCGAGGCGGGATTCTGTACCATTTTTGATGGTTGGGATCGTCCCCAGACTTCATCTACCTGACCCCAAGGGGCTTGCAAGGCACGGCTCGACCTACCTACCCTGTTCACAAAGACCGGCCCTTACAAGGCGAACCTTCTTGTCTCTGGATATTCTACAACCAAGTGGACAAAAGCAACATGAAAACGGGTTGGGGCAATCCTCATGTAAGATTGCAGCAAACCAGAAAGGGCCACAATGTCGATCAGCAATTGAAAACCGGGACCCACTGACTTTCACCGGAGCAAGCGCTCGCCCTAAATGCAGCGCCAACATGGACGTAAGACCCAAGTTTGCCGCAAACTCAAACGAGCCCCGAACCTTGAAATCAAGCAATCAGCAATGCACCAACTAAGCCCAAGTGAAGGCTGAAACGGGGCGCCGTTGCAACAATTCAAGAGGAGTTGCCCGACAATCGTCCCGTGTCCGGAGTTGTTCCAAGGATGGTCTTTTCAGGCCTGAGAGGAGGGGAAAAACCCACCTTCCGGAGTCCAAGTTACCCGTCCAAAATCCCCGGATTTGGCGCATCCAACAACCACCCCCTGCGACCCAGCGGCTGGGACTTCAACGCCTCCATCGGGAAAAAAATCAATCAATCCGCGGGGTCCGGATCACGGTCCGGCGCGTCCTCCAGGCGACGTCGGACGGGGCCCTTCCGCGTTTTGAGCACAACATCGAGGGATGGATTTAAGTATCTGTGTAGCCGTCGTTTAAACATCACCCCACAAGGAAACTCAATCAACAAACAGGGTGTTTTTTTGAAACAAGTAACCCCTTTGGCATTGGCGACGGCGGAAAACAGAAGTGGACAATGTGCCACAACGCTTTTCATCCTCACCTTCAATCAAGCTGGACGCAGGGAGGCATTTTTGGGCATCCCCATCCCCCGTGTTTTTGTTTTCCAAAAAAGCACCCGCAGAGCTTCGGATCCGCACTACCCGTGGCCCGGCGCCGGGTCCTGTGGGCAAATGGTGCCTGGCACGATCGGCGCAGGATCTGTCCGGATTTGAAATCCAGGGGTCGCTGCAAGTCCACCGGATTAACCCTTGCGGCTCTAGTTTTTCTAGTAGGCCTTGATAAGAGTCAATAGAGGCTACTAGAAAAAAAATGAACCTGACCCTTTCAGGTTCTAGTTGTTTGTTTTCCTTTGCATATCTCCCTGTCTGAGGCTCCCCGCCCAAATGAGCCCAGAAACTTGCTGCTGCGATAGGTAGGGAATGTAGGAATGAACCCAAGGATCCCTAAAAGGAAACCACAAGGGATGATTTGGAAGGGTCATTCCCTCATTCCCTTTATCTGGTTTGACGGTTTCTTTCTTTTGTTGGGCCCAAGCGCCCCAAGTCGAATCCGAATTCGCCAACTCGACGTTGCGCCCAAATCGCACAAGTCCCGCTAATGAAATCCGAAGTTATGATCCGAAAACTGCTGTGTCAGGTCTTCGCGAATGTATGTGTAGATTATATATATATATATGTGTGTGTGTGTGTGTGTATGTGTGTATTATATTTGTACATATACACACACACACACACATATATATATATATACACGTGGACTTCTCAGCAGGGAATAAGGGAATGACCCCTATGAACCATGCCTTGTGGATTCCTAGGGAATCGCCAAGTTCATCCTGTACTCTTCTTGGCTCCCTGAGAACCAAGCAACAAAACAGCGGCGAAATACTGCACCCCACCACCAAGCAACCAAACCAAGTAACCTGAGAAATGTTCAGTTCGAAAACCACCTTGTGAATTCCACACTTTAAGTGAGATGGAAACAGCTTTCATTTGTGTGGTTGCCTTTTCTTTGCGGGGAGGGAGGAGGTCTTTTTTTTCTTTTGGCGCTCCCCGACCCGATTGCCCACCCCTTTCCAGCCAAGCCTCGCCCAAAGGCAAGGGTCGCAACCGATCCCACCCCTTGGTTCTTGAGCCGGACGCAGCAGTCAAACCCTGCGACTAATGCCGGAAACATGACACCGGTCAAAGCACTCAGCGTTCAGCGACGGTGCTGGATTCCGGTTTTTTTTTGCTGTGCATTAACCGCATGACTTTTGCAGCGGCTGCATCTTGCCTGCTGTTTAAGACCTTAAACAACTTTCTGGATAGCGCAACTCCTCTCTGGCTCTCGTGCCCGTTTGCCGGATCCACTTTCTGTCAGCAGGCCTCCAAAAAGACCGGCCTGCACCTGGCCCATGGCCCAAGACAAGCTCGGTTGCCCAAGCAATGCGCACGCCGCTGCCGGGCAAGTACTGCACGTGAAAAAGCCCTTCCGGAAGCAATGCTCCTGGCTGGCAGGCGTCCGGCATCGCAGCCGGAGACTTCCCAAGGGAGTGAGCGATCTCTGAATCCGGCTGGCAATTCAAATGGGCGAAATGCAGCATCCCCATCCAGCGCGACTAAAATTCAATCAACTTACATTGCTCCGTGCGCATTTCTTCCTGCACTTTGGTCTTCGGCAACAATTGCGAACACAATTCCACATTGGCTATCAATTTTCCAGGCGAAGAGAGAGCACAGAGCCATGAAGCAGAAGAAAAAAAACAGCATTGACCTCCATTACCCATGCGAAGAAGTTCCTGCGAAACAGACCAGGCATTTTCTTGATGACGATGTTTCCGAATTATGGGAAGTCCGGCATTGAGATAGCATTTGTGCACCCATCCTTCGATGGAACATACGAGGAACGGCGGAAGAAGAACAACATTGTTCCCAGAGAACGATGGATCGATTGTCTGACATTCAACACCGCTCATGGCGCACTCAGGCCAGATGGCAAGACATTCAGCAAGGACCCGGAGATGGAGCTGTCTGTGAGATAGTGGTCATTCACGGCATGTGGAGATCGAATCCATCGGACACCGACTTTAGCCCCAGCAGCAGGAACACAAGAACCCTGAGCCGTCCTACGACCTGCCATCCTCAGCCTCTCACACGAAGCAGGACCATCAAGATGAAGAACCAGTGCAGCCGGGATACAGGATGCGACGACCTGCACCTCCATCCATTGAACAGGAAAGAAGAAAGATTAATCCTTTCTCAAGGGTTCCTGTCACCTTCATGCTCCATGCGTCCTATGGAAATCAGTTGGAGAGCATCCTGGATCAGGGAATCAAGACAGGAGCGAGTTCAACCCCGCGGGGACGAACTCATGTCCACCTTGCCTGCATCGACGACATCATCGTCGAACCATCCGAGGCAGCGCTGGCTCATGTGCCTACAGGACGTAATACACTCGTGACCCTTGCATTTGCAAAGAACAATCCGTACTCTTTCCGACTCACCGAGGAACGAACGGTATTGACAGAGCATACCATTAACACCTCGGATATCATTGCAGCGCTTGATGCACAAGGTCAGATCCTACAATTCCACTATCGGATCCTGAACAGGAACTTCTGTTTTTTTCAACAAGGAAGACAAGGAGATGTACGAGACCAAGACCACGGAGTTCGCTGACCATTTCCACGCACACGTCAATGCCAACAAGACAATCAAGGGACAATCAGAGAAGGAGTCATCCATCGAGACCAGAAAGCGACGGCATTCCACGGATCAAGATGAAGAACAATAAGAAGAAAAATGGAACCTACGGCAGAGAGAGCCGTCAAGCAAAAGGTCATCCTGGATCTCCACGGATTATGTATCACGATTCATCCAGAAATTCGCGGAAGTCGCTCTGGACCGGGACATGAACAAGATCGATGCAACAAAAGAGCTCAAGACAATTCAGGCGGCACGCAGTTTTGAGGCTGCAGGCTGGGAGGCCCGGCCTGCTTGGCCCGCCCTTTTGGCCGCGCCTGATATGCCGCGCGATTCTGAGATTACAGAGCCAAGCGACCTGCCGCAAGGTTGGCAAAGGCACGCTGCTTCCACGCTGAACCTGTATTACAGGGAGCACGAGCTAATGCCCGCCCTCGCGCCAGCCTCGCGAGCGCTTCTGCGGTCCCAGAGTGGCGCGCAGGCCGGCATGGCTTGCCGCAGTGCAATCCGGGCACGACGTTTTCGCCTCAACACATGCACCTCGCTTTGCGCAGGCGCTTGAGGTTGCCACTGCCCCTGACGCAGCGACGTTGCGGCGGCGATGGCCAGCCGGGCTGTGGACGCGAGGCCGATGTGTTGGGCGACCATCGAGTCTCCTGCCCTCGTTGCGGCTTGCTTGCCTGTCGCGCCCTGGCCGTTGAACAAGCGTGGATTCGAGTTGCGCGCGAGGCTGTCGGCCCAGAGGGCCGCGTCGTGCCACAGCAAGGGCTGTCCCGGACCACTGCGCCTGGGGTGTCGCCCGACAACCGTCGCCGGCTGGACTTGGTCGTTTACGGGGCCGCAGAGCGGGGAAGCACTGAGCAGCGGAAGCGCACACGGTACCCCGAGCTAGGCCAGCCTGGCCCGCGTGGCCGTCCTCGTGGCTGAGACAGCTTGCCCGCGTGCGCAACGCGCGGTTTGCAGCACCGTCCTAGGCCGCTGGACGTCGCCGCCTCTGCCTGCTGGAGGGGAAGGGCCGTTGCTCGGGGATGTCCTCTGGCCAGTGCCCCCAGCAGCCTCCCCCTCTGTCAGGTGTCTGCGGGGCGGCCTGCTCGTCGTTTCACTCAGCCGTTTCACTGCTCGTCTCACCCGCGCGCGCCGTGACGGATGTCTCACCGCTTGAGCAGGCGCCCACCAAATAATCAGGAGTACTTCCGAGATTTCATGAGCATCCAATCAGTCTTCATCTTTTTTCCTCCTCCTCGCCATCATGTTTTTTCCCTCGCGCCTTTTTCCGCAGCGTCTCTGTCGCAATTAAGGGGGGGCCTGGGCACCAGCGTTCTGCAAACTATTTGTTAGAATCCTGTTCACTGCTTCAAGCCAAGAGGGACCAGTAATAAAAAGGGGGGAGGAACTCACAACTCGATCGGCCGATCGCCCTGCTCCTTTTTATTTGGCGTTGCTCAGAAGTCCAGGCTCGAGGATGCAGGAGGGACGACAATGCGTGTCCATCCCCTGTCCTGTCCCTCTGCGGAGCCTGCACATATACCCCAAGGTTAACAACGCGTGTTCAACCTGTTCACAGGGTGTGTTACCCAGGGGTGTGAAACATAACTGGAGGTATTGTGGCAGCAATGCGTGCAGCTTGTGTGCGAAAAAATGAGGATTGCGTCCTCAAAGGATAAGACCCACGGCTGGTCCTGTAATGTTGTGTCTCACACGAAGCAACGCGTGCTCCGTGCGAGATACTGAGGAATGCGTCCTCACGCGTCGGACTGAGTCCGGAAAAACATGCCGGAGGAATGCGTCCTCGCATTTGCTCTGGCGCAAAAAACCACACGCAGCAGAAAGTGCAAGCTGGCAACGTGTGCTGATGGAATGGGACCTAATGGGCCTCACTTTTCGGACTGGACCGGAGGAATGCGTCCTCGCATGCAGTGGCAAAAAGACCACACTTAGCCCAAAACGTGCATGCTGGCACAATGTGCAGATGCAATGCAAGTCCTATTGAGTTAGAATGATCACGAAGCAACGCGTGCTCTCGTGCCAACTGCTGAGGAACGCGTCCTCTCTGTCTTGTGGAGTCCGAAAGGACAGGCTGGAAGAACGCGTCCTCGCAGTGTCCTGGCTGCTACGTACGTGTGAAAAGCATGCTGGCACAATATGCGGCTGCAATGCCAGGCCTATCAAGGCTGCCAGCCTTGTTCGCCAAGGTGAACCACCTGAGTACTGACAGGGTGGGTGGGTGGGCTTTTAAAAAAGCGGAAGAGGGATCGAACCCTCTAAACCGGTCCTTCAAAAAAGGCTTGAAGCAAAAGCGGCCACGCGGCTGAAGATTCGAACAGGATTAAAACACGGGGGAACACAAAACCCCAAGCGATAGAATCCTGTTCACTGCTTGGAACTCACAACTCGATCGGCCGAATCGCCCTGCTCCTTTGTATTTGGCGTTGCTCAGAAGTCCAGGCTCGAGCATGCAGGAGGGACGACAACGCGTGTCCATCCCCTGTCCTGCATCCCTCTGCGGAGCCTGCACATATACCCCCACTTTGGCGTTCTGAGGCTGCCCTATGCTCTGGGCGCCAAGGAGCATCAGGCGGATGCAAAGTTAAAGCGGACTTGTGCGGCCGGAAATCGCGCGGTGCGAAGCGCACTCTGGACTGCGGCATATTTTGAAAGGCAGCCAGATTGCCCCTGCTGAGCTGCTCTGCCCAGATGTTATGCTCTCCTGGGATGTGGGAGGCGATCACCGACCATTTATGCTTGTGAGCCCAGGCTGCAACTAATTGCACAAAGAGTTGCAGGGGCCATGCGGTGGTGAACAGTTTGTTCACTCCCGCCTCGGAGGCTGTGTTGCGCCGGTCGGGATGCAAACGCTGTGGCATGTCTGCCCCTCGGCAGCCCAGGCGATGCGCATGAGCGCGAGTTCGGCGAGGGTCTCAAAGCATGCGATGTACCGCTGTGCTTCTTTGGTTAAGCAAGGCCACTGTGTCTGGACTTCTGCGAAGTCCCACGTTTCTGCGAACCAGGAAACGCAACGCTTAGAGATGAACCACCCACCTATGCCTACGATGTTGCCTTCGGCACAGGCATGAAAATGCCTTGAACAGGCGAGGCAAGGACGGCCTTGGAACTGAGTGCCGAGCGAAACGCGGGCCATAGTCGCGCATGCAGGTCTGAGTAAAGTGGCACGAGCCAAGCCCTGAGCTCTAGGCTTAGGCTAGTGGCCCAAATGAGCAAACCCAGGACTTGCTGCAGGAGTTTGCGTTTCACTTTGCCTGATTTTAACAGCATGCGAAGCTGTTGTATTAGCTTCATGGTCTTCACAGGTGTGAGATCGATTGTTTCGAGACTGAAATTTATGTTCCACCCACACCAGGCGAGGGCGTCCTGGAACTGCACCTTTTTCCAGGAAATCGGTGCTGATATCGCGGCAAAAAACACAACAATAAGTGCCAATTGCTCGTGTGTC